CCTCCCTGTCTGCCTGCTGACAGCCTCTGAGCTCCAGCTCTTCCTCCCGTGGGCTTTCACCACGGTTAGCACGATTTTAGTGCCTCAGCACATCAAGAGCTCAGGAGGTTTGGGCCCTGCAGCGCCTCTCTGGGAGGAAAGCCACTAGGGCCACCTGGCTGCTAGCCCCGGGATGCCACGGTCAGCTGCCACGGAGCAGGAGCACAAAAGAAGTTAATTAGTGTCACAGCCATCCCTGTATAATTAAACCCTGCCCTGTACCCTTCTGCTTCTATATCTGCTCACAGGCAGCTGCTGTCTTCTTGGGAGCAGCTTTAAGCACCTCAAGTGTGGCTGATTCTAAGTAAATCACTTGAAATTCCCACTTTGCTAAACCCTTAGAGCCTCTCTGCCTGCCAGCTTGGACACAGTGCTCAGAGCACATCCCGTTCCCAAGTTCTCCCAGGCACTGGCACAGAGTGAACTCCAGTAGCAACCTCTGGCCAAGAGTGAAATCCAGTTAGACAAAACCCAAATCCAAACAGATGAGAAAATAGAATGTTTATTATTCTTTGATCATAACCACAAAAAACCAAAGATAAAGTGAAAGAAAACAGCCCACTCGATCCCAAATGAATCCAAATGTTGATGAATCCTGATATATCCCTTTAAAAGTGTTCCAGGGGATGCAGGCACTGCTTTTTGTTTCACTTAAACATACTGGGGCAGAGCCAGAACAAACCAACTCACCTACCTCCTCCTGTTTGGTTCCTTGTTTTCCTCCCTCAGGCAGGAGGATTGCCTTTTCCTGGGCCTTCTCCTCTGTGACGGTGTTTTAGGCATTAGCCCTGGTTCAGCCCTGAGGCTGCTGTGGAGCAGAAGAGGCACAACAGAATTGTTCCCCCACTGCCTAGAGCAACACTCTCCCAACACAAGTGTCCTTCACCAGGCAGGATGAGGTCCAAACCCACACCTGTGGCCACTCAGCCAAGGCACCCAGAGCCCAGCTGGGAGCTCACAGTGCTCTGAGACCAACCAGCTCCCTGGGGAGGGAACAATCCCCTCGAGAGCATCCCCTACCTCTCCAGCATCCTTTTGCCCTGCTCCTCCACCTCCCGCAGCCAGGCC